GAGAAGTTTATTACATACTTGCAAAACTCTACTTTCATCTTTACTGGTTTATAAGTTCCTCGTTTTTTTTTTTGAGAATAGGTAGGTAATTTTTATTGAAAATGGGCAGGGCCCACGAATAATACAACAAAATCCTGGGGCCAGAGGAGATAGCCTCTACCACTGGACAAAACTACAGACCCCATAGGCTTAGAGGATTTAACACCCGAGCAGTCCTATGGTGTTCAAACTCATTAAAAACAGAATCCCAAGAGACCACTTTCTCCACAACAAATCTTATTAGAACATCTGGATCTCTAAACTTGTTTGAGTAGAGCCTCTATTTTTTTTTTTTTTCAGTCAAAATTGTTCATAGGACAGCCACAAGAATTGCCTTTGCTACCCAACCCTGGCAGAACCCAAGAAGACATCAAACCATGCACCGAGGCAGGCATAATCCAGCAGATATTTGTAGATTTAAGGAAATGACTCCATGGAGCTGCAGCCACTCGGCAGTGGATATAAAGATGATCAAAATCCCTTGGCAGCAGGTGAGTTTCTATCAAACATTGTCCTAGAGTAGCCACTCACAGCAGGAAGCTCACTTTGGGGGGAGCAATGACTTCCAAATCTGCTTACAAGGGAGATGGATCTATGTAGAGCTTCTCTACTTCTCAGCAGTGGATTTTAACAGAGAATTCACCTTCCTTGTTCGACTTGCAACCCCACCTATCAACATTACCATCTCCTATTGCTTTATCTTTTGGGAGTTGCAGCAGATCACAAACGGAACCCTTCTTCCAGTTGAAGAAGTTCTTGCATAACTTGGGGACTCATACCAAATTACCTCCCACATTCAAAGCATAGTCAACCATGGAAATTCCTGTTTCTTTCTCCCTCTTTAGTGCCTATTTATGATAGAGCTCATAATTTGCCTTAAATTTAACCTCACTTTCTTTCTAACTTCCTTTCTTATGGTTTTACATTTTTCTAAGTTTCTCCATTTTAGTTTGTTTTTTCAATCATTTTTGTTGGTTCGACTGTCTTAATATGTTTATGTATCTCTGTTGGGTCTTTAGTCTTTTGTTATTGGGCCTAATCTTATTTAGTGTTTTTTATTTGTCTAGGTGTCCCATCACTAATCAGGGGCATTCTAGT